ATATAAGGCCATTAGACAGACAGACCCCAACCTAACTGAATCCTGTTGGCTATGTTTAGCAGCAGCACCCCCTTATTATGAGGGCGTAGCCATCCAAGGGGCCTTCAATAATACCACTTCGGCCAACTTCTGTCATAGAGAGATTCCTCACCCCTTAACCCTCACGGAAGTCTCGGGATCTGGGCTCTGCTTAGGAAACCCACCTCTAACTCATGCCCGCCTTTGCAACTCCACTATCTCTGTACCTTCAGGAGAAAGAAATCACTATCTTCTGCCTCCCAAGGGGCTTGGTGGGCATGTAACTCTGGTTTGACTCCCTGTGCAGCTAGTATGGTCCTTAAAACCTCTCAAGATTACTGTGTCATGATTAAGCTCCTGCCCTGAGTATTCTATCACCCCACAGGTTCTGTAGAACAGTTCTTTGAACAACAACAACCAAGAAGGTACAAAAGAGAGCCTGTGTCACTAACCTTAGCAATACTTCTGGGAGTAGGGGTGGCTGCGGGAGTATGAACTGGAACAGCAGCCCTAATACAAGGACCACAATATTATGCAGATTTACAGATGGCAGTAGATGAAGATATCAAGGCAATAGAACAATCAATTACACACTTAGAAAAATCTCTAACCTCCCTTTCAGAAGTGGTATTACAAAATAGAAGGGGACTGGATCTGCTTTTCCTTAAGGAAGGAGGGCTTTGTGTGGCTCTAGGTGAAGAATGTTGTTTCTATGCTGACAACACAGGGGTTGTTAGAGACTCAATGACTAAGCTCCGTCAGAGATTAGAAAAAAGACAAAAGGACCGTGAATCCAAGCAGGGATTGTTCGAAGGATGGTTTAATAAAACCCCCTGGCTAACTACTCTAGTATCCACCCTAATAGGCCCCCTAGTTATTCTTTTCCTTCTCTTAACCTTCGGACCATGCATCATCAATAAACTGCTACAGTCTATCAGGAACCGAATATCGGTAACTCAGGCCTTGGTCCTCACCCAACAATACCATACTTCAAAAGGAACAGAAGACCTACAGATTTTATGATTAAAATCTTGCCATAAGAAAAGGGGGGAATGATGGAATCAAACTAAAGCCCCCCAGATTAAAGTGGATTCAAACCAAGTCCCCCAGACCAAAGAAGAATATTCAGAACAAGGAAGTAAGAAGTAAAATAATTCTAACTGCTGAGAAAGA